CCTTCAAAGAAACGAATCACAATTCACTTGTCGACCATCGCTAAGGAAATTTGATTTTAATTGGACAAAATGTGACAACGATTAATTTACTCGTCAATGGAGAATATTGGCTTTGCAATTTTAACTGGCACGCATAAAGGTATCAGTTAAATGGAGATTACGGGAATGTTATGTTATTTGACTAATTGGTCAATGACAAATTAAAGCAGAAAATTTGAAAATATGTTTTTGCAATTAACAAGATGGCTTTTGATGCGCACCTTTCAATGAAATAGGAGAAACCGAAATCTGCGCAGAAATTGTGTAAATTAATACACTTGTGCTGGGTCAAAGTGGAATCAAAGAAAGGCGGAAATTAATTTTTAGATGGGAAACGCTGTATGCCAAAGGTAAACAGCTTAATGAGCCTAACTGAACTTTAAAATGACCGAAATTGAGAGCATATTGTATTAGCCAAAATAGAGTGTGCTTTGTATGCAATTTAAATGAGCGCAAAACCGTAAAAATTCAAGCCTCATCAGCTTAGCACTTAGTGCGACCATTTACCCGGAAAATCTCCGGTAATTGAAAAAAAAAATCAATTAATTGGAATCGTGCATAATGAATGTCGGACGAACGTGTTTACAAGACCGAAAAGGCAAACAAACCGATTTACGATGACAAAATTACTCATTTACAATGCAATTTTGACGCTACCTATACGGGGAATCTGTTATATGTTTGTTATATGTGTATGTAGGTATGGAGGTGTGGAGGCTATGTAATACCTTAATATACTATTATGTATTTTATACATTGTATCCCCGCTGCTTTGTTCTGATGGCCAGTAAATCATTGGCCGAAATTGGTGTGCTGGGCAAACACGGCGTAAATGAATAAATATTAAAATGTCCAGCCATGTCCTGGAACTGTCCAAACTCGTCCTGTTCACTCTCCCTGTGTGCTGACTTACTCATCTGGCATTTGAAAATGAACAAAGCGATTAAAAGCACAAAACACTCAGCCCGAAAATGGGACGGGAGATAGAGCAAGCAAACTTCTGAGCCATTACACAACAAAATGGCGTTAACAGCGCAGCAAAAACTGTTAAAATCGGGATAGTAAGGCACTAGTTATACCCTTTGAGAGTTATGCTTTTCGTTGGGCATTTCCGCTTTGGGTGGTGCTGAAATACCCAACTTTCTGTGCAGGACTTGTGTGTGTGTGTGGAAACCAGACGAAACAATATATAAACAACAATTCAAATGCAAAAAACACACTTAAACACTCACATTGCAATAATATTTTTACATTTCATGTTGCCAAAAGGTTTATCCAGCGAGCAGACGGAAGTGAAAACTCTCTAACGAAGGCAAAAAAAGTGCAAAAAAATCAAGTCCAACCACAGGCGGACAGCAGAGCACCACTGGGAATTACCAAACGGGGTGGTGGTTGGTGGTTGGTGGGTGGTTGGTGGGTGGTGTGCGCAGAAATATGCAATGATAATCTGAAATGCAAACAGAAAGTGGCGACTCACTCCTCAGCACATGAGGGCCATCAGGATCAGCATTTGCATCCGCATACTCGTATGCATCACCATACACACACCCATCAACGTCAACATCAGGGGGCGAAATGCTGTTGGTTTTCCCATTGGCTGCTGATGTTTCTGATTCCGCAGCAGCCGCTACTGTTTGCCAGTCAATCAATGCAGCCACCCATCCACTGAACCACTGAACCACTGAACCACCGAACCACCAAACCACCACTGAGCAACTGCACCACCATGGGTGAGGGTAGCGCTAATTGTGATGGATTAATTGGCCAGGCCAAGCTCAACCGCATTATTTAGCTGCATTTTAAAGGCCAATGACAACTGCGCTAATGGTCTGGCTTGTTTTTTGGCTTACAATGTGGTTCTGCAATGGGCAACAGGTCAATTGGGCCCTTTAAAGAGCTAAATTGCTGAATTAGTAACTGACTGCAATTAAATATAAACTATCAGTTTCTACTTATAATTACTGCTGTACGAAAAAACGCGAATCAAATTAGTCGATGTCGCGCTGGTATTTCCTTGACCTGCATTATTTACAAACTTCTCGCTTACCACTTCACTACTTATTTATTTATTTACATGCAACATTTCAATTAAATTTCAATTTATTTCTGCAAGCTCATTGATTATGCATGGCAATTAATTTTATGCGATTTTCAGTATGCAATATTTTCAATTAGTCTGGCCAGTGGCAACCAGGAGAACAGGATAACAACTGGACTGGATCCGGGTGGGGATTTGAGGGACATAGACATCATAATATGCTAACTATCCCTCCGCTCGGTGTAATTAATACACGGCGGTGGGTGGGATTGGGTTTGGATTGTCATTCCAGAGATTGGATGGCTTCAGGGATCCATGGCAAAAGGATTATGCAGTGGACAGGATGAGGCCGAGCCAGGCATATTGAATGTCCGAGGAACAGACAATTAGTTGCTCATGTGACAAATACAAGGCCGGGGAAAATGGCAATGAAAGAAGGAAAAACTATGACTGAGCGGGTGGTTGGCATCTGGCATCTAAAATTGCATTTAAATAATGGAAAAGGCTGAAACAAAAGGCCGGTCAAACAAAGACAAGCTGCAGCCAAATGGCCAACAAAAGCCGAAAAGGAAGGAAGGAAACAAACGAAGGTTGAATGGAAGGAAGGAAGGGAGGAAGGAAGTAACTTGGCTCAAATCAAGAACATGTAAATACAAACAGGCCGATGTTTGACGCTTGGCTAGCCACTGTCCAAAACTACTGACGCCTGACCTCTGACCCTTTACATTCCTCAGCTCCCCGACCGAAATCCGCTTCAAAGAAGCGAATTGTATACTTCAATTGCAATTCATTTATTGCGAGACATTCTTCTTCTCTGTACTTTTGGTTTGCCTAGGGATTCCTGAATAAATGATAGCTCAACTCTGCTCGCACTCTGTCATCAGATATGTTACATATATTTGTTTGTGAAGATACATATAAGCGAGTATATATACATATATGTATATTTATATATGTGTGAACGCGCTGAAACTTGAGAATCACGTCATTAGCACTTTGTTTGCGTCGGCCACGCGGCGTATGCGTAATAAGCAACATCACACCGCGAAACACCAACAGCGATGCAAATAAGAAGCTAATTAGGCGCTGATTGATGCCTCTTCATGGCCAACAGCCATACAATATGGTAATGAATGAATGTTGGCCTCTTGGCTAATGGATATACAAAACCCGAAACTGAAATGTCCCGAAAAGATAGCCAAGCGCTGTCAAAGGCGAATTGCATAACCATTGTAGATGCCGCCGAGGGGGAAAACCATCGCAGGGGAGCTAAGCGCCTTAAGGCAGCTGCTTCCACCTCCACCTTCACCTCCCACACCCAATCCTCCCGCTCATGCTGTGGCATCTCCACCATTCATCAGCTGCCAGTTGTCAATTGTCAGTTGTCACTTGGCTGCCTCGTGTGGCCTGCTAATGCGATGCGTTGCGTTGCGAGGCGCATCTGAATGATGCAGCAACTGGAAATCGCTGCCTGCAAATGGCAACTATGTGTGCAGCATCAACTGGCATGCAGCATAGCTGGCAAACTGGCAGGACCAGATAGGCAGCGGCGGAGGCAGCTCACTAATTGCCACCAAACGGAAGGAGGTAAAAGAGAGCAGGCGTGACCACCACCCATGAGATCGCGTTAGTTACGTTGTTAGGCTGGGTCGAATTTCGTCGGGTATCTGGGTAGATGCGTAGCGAGGAGCTTAGAGCCGGGTCTTCTGGGAAAATCGCTGGTTAGCGAAAGTCTTTAAGCGAAAAGCTGACACCGCTCTAAAGCAACTTTGCATAATTTGTAAGGTGCTCATGGTACGCATATTTATTGAATTCACTTGAATATAAGCTAATATATCCGAAATATATACCTTTTCTACATTTTTAATTTTTGATACCATCATCAAAATTTGCGAAAAATGGCAAAAAAATAGAATTTCCATTTTTGAATACAGGTCGATAGGAAATTTTATTACGAATTCAACGGGGTATGACATTCTAGGATTGGGCAACTACTTTTATTGCTATCGCAAAAATACTGATTATTTTTAACAAAAAAAAATTATAAAAAAAATTTTGTCAAAAATCGGATATTTTCAAACGGGGTTTTCGCCATAACTTAGCCAAAAAAGAAGGCACAGCTAAAATGAAGACAGTTTTGTGCTGCTAATAAACATAGCTAACCATGTCTGTCAATACTTTTATGATTTTCGGAAAAACAAATTTTAACAAATTTTCACATTTTTTATAAGGGGTACCCCCATCAAAATTTGCGAAAAATGGAAAAAAATTAGAATTTACTTTTTTGAATACACGTCGATGGGAAATTTTGTTACGAATTCAACGATATATGACATTCTAGTTTTGGAGAACTACTTTTATTGCTATCGCAAAAATTCTGATTATTTTTAACAAAAAAAAATTATAAAAAAAAAATTGTCAAAAATCGGATATTTTCAAACGGGGTTTTCGCCATAACTTAGCCAAAAAAGAAGGCAGAGCTAAAATGAAGACAGTTTTGTGCTGCTAATAAACATAGCTAACTATGCCTGTTCCTTCTTTTTTGATTTTCGGAAAAACAAAATTTAACAAATTTTCGCATTTTTTTTAAGGGGTACCCCCATCAAAATTTGCAAAAAACGGTCAAAAATAAAAATTTTCAAGTTTGAACACAGGTGGATAGCGAATTTTGTTACAAATTGAACGAGGTATGCCACTCCACTTTTGGACAACTATTTTTATTGCTATCGAAAAAATAGACAAAAAATGTTGTCAAAAATCTTATATTTTCAAACGGGGTTTTCGCCACAACTTGGCCATAAAGGAAGGCATAACTAAAATGGAGACTGCTCCTAATAAACATAACTCACTATGCCTATCCCTACTTTTATGATTTTCAAAAAAACAAATTTTCCCATTTTCGATAAGGGGTTCAAAATGGTCAAATATAAAAATGTATAGGTGGAGAATTTCGCTACAAATTCAGCGAATGGCAAACATTTAAATGCCCAAGCTTACAAGCCAATCGTCTGGGCCCGTAATTGCGTGATCATTGAGTTAGGACATTTAACATTTGGACCATTATGTGCGTTCTAATTGCGATCAATGCTCTTTAGTTGGATATCCGATTTGCCCGACTCCGCCAAAGGACTATGTCGCGAATGGCCCGCAACATTGGGCGGAACTTGGTGCGCTGCCAGTGGATGTTATCCCTGCCACGTTCCAGCAGGATCTTGATGAGTCGCTCACTGCCTTGCATGTCCCGCAGGATCTCCTTGAAGAACTTGCTAAAGAAGAGCAGTTCCTTGGGAGTGGCCAGGTATTCGATCAGCGGTCTCATGAGATTTACAACCTTGTCGGTGGAGTTGCTGCAACTTTGGGCGGTCAGAATTATAATATTTTAAAATCGGAAATGCACCACATGTCCGGCACTTACTAGTTGCGTATGTTCTGCATATTGGTGGAAACGTACTTCTTGGCCAAACGATAGCCCAAAGAGTTCGAGACCAGAGCCTTGAAGGTTCGCCTGGCGTTTTGCTTTCGCACTCCCGAGCTCTCGAACGTCCATTCAAGGACTCTCTGCAGGACGACGGCGTTCCGCGAACAGGCCAAAGCGGTCAAGAGCGATTCCTTCTCGGCGGCAAAGTTCGAGCGTTTATACATCGACTCCACGGTATCACGGTCCCCTTCCGTGCCGAACTTGACCGCCGTGCAAAAGACCGTTTCCCGCTCTCGAATGGTCATCCATCCGCCCTTCGCCGGCGTTCCCTTTAAGAATTCCCTACGAGCGAGACTCACACAGGCGGGCAGCTCGTACTCGCAGGCCAGCCTGATGATGACGGGGCGGTGGGTCATGTTGCCCGAGGAACTGGCCAAGTCCGAAGATAGCACCCGCTGGAACTGCCGCTCCAGAAGGTGGCGCATGTAGGTCTGCGACAAAGCGAACACACTGATTTATGCCTTTCAAAGATCCGTGCACCCACCTTATAGATCAGATAGTTTGGGTTCCTCTTGGCCACGTTGTTGATCCGCTCGAAGTTTACCTCGGTGGCTGCCCAGACCACGAATTCGTCCTCGTGCTCAAGATAGCCGAGCATGCCCAGGGCCATGTCATACTCAATGTCGCCACTCCAGGCAAAACTGAATAGATCGTCGACCAACTGGGCGCGGTTTACACGATGGATGAGACGAAAGGTTGTGGGATCAGCGAGCGTTTTGTTCAGCAGCTGCCAGTTGTGGAGGTCATAGTTCACGCGGCATGGAGCCGAGTGTTCCACATTGAGCAGTATCCAATCATTGGGCCCCGCCTCCAGTTTGTCCAGTAGAACGGTATTAGATTTACTCGAAGACTTAGAGGTCGGACAGGTGAGCCAGCGGCTGAAGGACATCATTTCCGAATTTTTGCACCTGGGGCAGGTATAGCTGAGCGGAACCCACCAGCACGGATTCTTGGACAATTGGTTTCGAAACTGCGGAGTGACGAAGAAACGCTGCTGACTTACGATAGCCGCACTATTGTCGTAGTTCCGGGTGACGGTGAGCAGGGGATATCCCGCTTGGCCTAGCCAGCACTTCATGATCCTTGTGATATTCAGACCCTTGCCCAAGCGTCCATTGCGGTCCACCTGCAGTTGCAAAATTCTCCAAAAGTCCGAGGATGTGGCGGTGCGATTGGCATACTCAGCCAGATAGCGACGCAGTGCGGTCAGCCACGCCTCCTCGCCCATGACGCGGTGCATCATATCGAAGAGCACGGCTGCCTTGCGTTCCCCAATCTCATTGTACGCCGCCCAAATGTGACTCTCATCGGGCACCGATGCCGTCACCAGATCCGTATTTACATGGGCATCGTAGTCGAGGACCGAAAGGTAGAGCTGCAGGGCGTGCCGCTCCTGGTAATCCCACTGCGGACGCAGTTTGTGCACACCAAAACGCGAGAGGTACAGGGCAAAGGCGTTCTTCAGCCAGATCTCGTGCCACCAGGCGATGGAGACCAGGTTGCCGAACCACTGGTTCACCACAATCATGGCCACAGCCCGTGCCACGCGCTGTTGATCGTCCATGGAACTCCGTTGGCTATCGTACAAAACAGATTCCTCCGCGAAGGTGGGCATGCCCCAGTTCTCCTTCGACTTAAAGGCGAAATCCGGCAGTGCCACCAAATCGATCTTCTTCTGCCGGATGGTACTGTTGAAGAGGTCTTCGTAGAAGGAGAGCAACGGTGCCACCACCATGTTGGCGAACTCCGTCTGCGGCAGTGCATCCGGACGAGCCCACGTGCTAATTGGACAATCCGATCGCTCGCTGGACGTGAAACCCGGCCTGTCGAACTTGCTGATCATGAAGGCCACCAGGTACGTCTGCATTGGATGGCTCTCGACGAACTGCGTCCACACGTAGTCCTTCAGGCTGGCACTTCAGTTATCAGGACGATAGCAGTACAGTACATTTGAGTATCATTTTGGAATCGCTACTCACTGGCGCGTGGTCCGCTGGACGGGCATGTTGGATAGAGCGCGGTACAGATGCGGATGTGCCAGATTGATCTGGAAGGGTGTCCTAAAAATGGGATCATCGAAGCAGGGGAATGCCTCGCGGGCGTGGTTCGGTTCGAACTGGGTGGCCGCCAGCCATTGGGTTAAAGTAGTATTATGATCCACATAATTGCTGCGATAGAATCCATTGTTGTCACCTCTCAACACACTAGTAAATGCCACCCGCAAGGAGTAAGTGACGTTGATCTTGAGAGGACTCCTTACGTACACAGTCAGTCGACTCAGTTTAATGTCCATCTGTATACTGCTGACCGGCACTGAGCTGCCACCCTTGATGGACAGGGTCACCGCCCCCCGCTTGCCAATCGCCAAGTCGTGGGAATTCAGCACTATTCTGTTTGTCGATCTCTCCGATCTTAGATCAATGACCACCATACCGCCGAAGGGCTGGTGAGGTTGGTTGATCCGCGTCACGATGTCCACGCGATAGCGGAGGGGAACCAACCACTTTGGAAGGCGACTGGCATCGGTTTTGTGAGCTGGTAGGTGGAAAAACAGGGCGGTGAGTATTGCCAGGTAGCTCAGTTGCATGATTTCAAGGACTGATTTACTTTGTTTATGTTTCTCAGCCGAGTCAAGTGTGTGCCTAATTGGAAATTCGTCAGGCCAGCCAACAAAAAACACAAAGCATTCGACAATTCTATACCTAGTATATATTCGCACAAGCGCATACTGGTATTTCTATTAGCAGGTTTCATTAATTCGTCGGCAAGCAAAGTCAAGTGAAACATGTTGTATACAAAATATATATCTCATAATTGCTTGGAAATGTCTAGAGCTCAAGTTATTCGACAACAAAAGCAATTCCCAATGGATGTAGATTTAATTGAGGAGCAATAACCTATTTCTCGTATACAGTAACAGAAATATGAATGCAAATTATTGCGAAACTTTCGTTTGTTTGAGGCAAGAAGCAATAATTCGGAGTGTGGACGGATGGAATCTGTATCCGAATTTGTGGTTTTCATCAGTGTTGCAGATGGAACGAAAAGGAATCCAATCGAAATCGCACTCATGGAGCTAAATGGGGGGCGGACTGTGGGCGGGGCTCGGACGAAAAGGGGCGACAAACCACAGCATAATGTCATTAGCGCATGTTGGTTGGTCTCCTCTTTCACTCGTTATCTTGTGCGTGTGTGTGTGTGTGTGTGTGTGTGTGTGCGCGCGTGTGTGTGTGTAAGTGTATGTGTGAGGCTTGGGCAATAAATTTCCAATTTTCGTGCAATTTTCGCAGAGCGGCATGCATACATATACGAATATACATACATATATACCTTTGAGTATACCGGTGCTCGGTGTCCGCTGTCCGCTTTCTGTTGTCCGTATAACGGAGAGTTGTGTTTTTAGGGGCCAGAGCCTGGCGTACTCATAAATACATTGACCAATAACATAATTTTTGTTTGTGTTGGTATATTGCCAAATGACCTCGTTACCCCGGCGGCAAAATCGAGGCAGGAAAATCACTGCCACAACACGACACAAAAAGGCGACAAAGGCACCGAACGTGCGGCATATGTTTCTCTGTGTGGGTGGTGGTGGTGATGGTGGTGTTGGTTTTTGGGGGGCACTGGGCGTGGGTGGCGTAGGGGGCGTGTTCCTGGGCCGAACGGAAGTCGGCTGAGACCCCTCGACAGTCGCCGTTGCGGCATTATAATTAATGGGCATGATGGGCCATGCAAGCCAGCATTTTCATACTACTGACCTTTCGTGTACCTCTGGCCCTTCTCTGATTTCTGGGATATTAAATGTAACGATGCAAGTTGGCTATGAATACGACACGTAGTGTGTGCCACTGTCCGCAAGGTGGCGCTCGTGTGGCTGCTGCTGATGATGATGATCACATGCTATTAAACCGCAATACAATAGCAATTTTCAAATAAATGATTTATGGCTCTGGACATGACACACACAGCTGTCGTCTGTTTGTGTGTGTGCGTGTGGATTGCTGGCAAATGCCAAAACTGCCGCAGTCCCTCAGTTGCTGCCCATAAACCAAACCAAACCAAACCAAACCAAAAAAAAGAAAAACCTGGAAGGGAGAAAAAAGGGAAAGGAAAAACAGGACGAGGCTTGAAAGCCAGAAAAACTGAGAGCCAAATGCCCGGCGGAAGGTCGGAGGTGCTGACTGAGATGGTGGGTTGGTTTTTTGATGCATGGCCGAGGGTTCATAAAGTCGATTTCCACAGGCCAATTGTTGGAAACTGCAGTCAGTGAATTAAGTCTGTTCAATTGTCAGCCAAGTAGAATTTCCTTCGATTTCCTTTCGGTTCTCAATAGGCTCCACTCTACCTTGGATGCTGATAGTGCCCTTATTTTCCAGTCAAGTCAATTACGATCATGAGTGTGTGGTTTCAGATATACTCGCATCAACTTGTAAGTTAAACGTTGCTTGCCTTTTTGTGTACAGTATTGCGCCAAGATTTTGTTACTTTTGATGGGGGAAACTGTACCCCAGCTACCCCACCATCTGTCTAAATTGCTTTCGATTGATGGAACTGATGGAAGATTGTTGTCCAGGTGCCATTCAGTTTTCCATACCCCTCTACTCACATATCACGTATACGCACATAGTATGTGGGGGATGCCAAGCTGTTGATTTGGCCACTTCACATGGCACACCTTGCAAATCCCATGAAAAGCTGAAGGAAATTGTGAGTCGAGAAAATGATGATTTCGTTCTCCAGCCGCTATTAAGTCATAACATTTATATATCCCCATTTCATACCCCGACAAATCAGCGCAACGAGGTGGAAGGAAAAGTTGAAATGCAGAGAAGGGAACTGGAACTGGAACTGTCATGGCCAAGATGGCAATGGGTACGTTCGTTCACCTGTCTCAAGCACACATCGAGATATAGCCACGTTGATGTCTCCATTTTGTGTGAGTGTGGTGATGCCATTGTTGCTGCTGTTGTAAAATTTAATGCAAAACTCGTTTATAAACAGACAACTGGCAAACGAAGCGAAAGAAGGAGGGAAAAAGAGAGGGGGAAAGGAAGGAACGGCCAAATTCAGCGGGAAGGGCAAACGACATCGTCATTTTCTGCTCAAACGTTTGCGTGACAGCACCACCCACTAAGAATGCCTCGCACCACCCAACTAACCAGCCATAATTTTACCACCCAACCACCCAACCACCCACCCACCGAAGCCACCCGCCAAGTTGGCTGCCATTTTGACAGATGCCAAACGCAAAGCGAGCAAAGCCCAACAATTTTTATTTGTCTTTGTTGCTTAGCTTGGCTAGAAGGCAAATGGCCAAAACGCGTCAAAATTACTGAAGGCCAGAGATACCCTATAAATACACTACGCATGAGAAATTGTTCAATTAAATTGTAATCTAAAATTTCAAAAATAATTGATGAAATATTACACATCAAATGTTTATTAATTGTTCTACATCCCGAGGTTCAATGAGCTATTTATTTTCCACAAGGATGCTGTTCATATTTGTACTTTTCTACGCTACAGGTATATAGTATTGTATAAATATATGCGTATGGAAGCGGATTGATATTTATTCAAATCCAAAACAGTATCAATATCGCATTGCTAGTGTGTAGCAATATTTAATATTTAATATAGGGTGTGCAAAAACAGCAGAGGAAGTAACTTGTGGGCGATGTTTACAGCTCTGCCGTGGACCATCGTTAGTTGGTTTTTACGACTCGAAACGCTGCTGACCACCAGCACCCAATCCCCAACTCCGGACCTTAGTCCCCCGAAACCAAACCTCCGGTAACCATAAAGATTAATACCGTAGACCCACCGCTCCTTCCGGAGCGATAACAGTTGTGAGGTCATTGCAGTGGCTCGCAAACTGCGGCAATCGTTATTATTGCAATTTCATTAGATGGAAGCCACAAAAATGAAATAATTAATGGCGGAGTGAAACTGAAATAATTGCCAACGAAAATTGTTCGGTGCGGGTGGTTGATTTCTGCGGGGCGTGGTGGCTGGTGCCTAATGATTTATAATTTATGGAATTGAACGAAAAATTATAACAATTAAATGTCGAATTTCGATTGCATTGCCAATCTAAGCGCTCAATTAATAACTAATGGGATTAACAATTGGAGACAAAAGCGCTACTTAAATGTAGCAAAATGAACGAAAAAAGGGAAGATAAACCGTAATTGTACAATTGTACAATCATTTTATGCAAAATGGAACCTTATTGCGCTGGATATTATAGTATAATAAGCATGGATGCATAAAATCTAGCTTATTAGTTATAAATTCGCAAATGTAGCTTTCCGTATTTGTATTTTTATCGATATATATTTTATTATAATTATAATTATTAATATATATTTTCTTGTTGACTATTTATTTGAACGACAATGTAAGCTCAGAATTCCTTCATATATTTATTTTTGATCCACTGCCAAGAGCCGGAAAACTGACCCAAACACGAGCAGCAGTCGCACTACGACTATGTGTCCATATTGAGGCTACGAAATAAAGGAAAAAACTCCATAAAGTTTTTGCAATTGCTTAAACGTGCCGTTCGGGCCGCATCATAAACCAGAAGGAGGCTAAACCCATCCTCCCACATAGTTGGGGACTTTAAAGCCTTTAAATTCGAATTGCATTCTCTAAGTGTCGGGCATTCCCGGGGGGTCAAAGTGCAGGCTATTTGGCTGTGTGGGTGGGATATTTGTGTTGGTATGTGTATGTGCTTGTGTGCCACATAGCCACATTCGGGGCTTCTGCATTTTGAATTGCCTACGTTTCGGGGCAGTCATTTTTGGGGCTCTAATAACTTACGGCTCAGTGGTAAAAGGCAACAACAGAAAAGTTAGGTGCATTGTTCAAGATTTGTTTCAATTTCCCCATGCAAAACTCGGGCTTCCTTTTACACACACAAGGCTAATGGCTATATACACTCACCAACTGCTTAAATATGCTGACATGTATGTATATGTATGCAAATAAGCAACAACAACTCCCCGGCATACAATTTCAAATGATCTAATGAAACAACAACGGAATGAGCAACAACAAAGACACATAAAAACACCACACGAAAGTGGGCGGGAAAACCAAAGGAAAACTCCTTTCTAGCCTTCCTGAAAAATATCATTGAGTGTGTGTGGTGCACGGAAAAGAGAGGGAATGGGTACAAGTGGGTTGAGAATGAGCAGAAAAGGTGAAAATCCACTAAAGAAGGAGAGGAAAGGAAGAGCATGACTACAATAGCAAAATAGCATGAAAAATCAACGGAAGGGGTGATTGCAGAATGCAATTCGAGTAAACAACACAAGGTACTCATTTCACTACTTCACTGCATTTTCATTTTCATTTTCAGTTTTATTTTTATTTTCAGATTGATGCTTTGTTGAAGTTTCGCAGGAAGTACGTTTTAAGCTTATGGATCCAGACTGTTTGCTTCTTAATTAAGTTGAAAGTACTTCCTCATCCAGTTGAGCGCAATCGAACTTATTTCCTTGGCTAACATAACAAAATACAATGTTTGGTTGTTGCTACAAAAAGTGTTACAATTTAAAAAGCTGAAGTGTCCAGGGAAATGGA